TTACCCAATAAAGACACAGAAGCTTGCAGACTGGTTTAGAAAATAGGATCCATCTTTTTGCTATCTCAAAGAAACACATCTCACCATCAATGATAGACCTCCCCATTAAGGTAAAAGGATGAAAAAAGGTATTCCAACCAAATGGAACGAAGAAACAAGCAGGAGTAGCTATTCTATTATCTGACAAAACAGAGTTCAAATTAAAACTAGTCAGAAGAGATAAGGAAGGACACTTCGAATTAAAGGAAAAATCCAAAAATAGGATCTAACAATTCTAAACATTTACTCACCAAATGCAGGGGCACCTGATTTCATAAAAGAAATACTATTATATCTAAAACCACAGATTGACCCCAACACAGTGACACCAGATGACCTCATTATTCCACTCTCACCAACAGCCAGTTCATCCAGTCAAAACTAAACAGAAAATCAAGTTAAACTGACACTGTAAACCAAACAGATCTAAGACATCTACAGAACATTCTACCAAAATACTAAAGAATACACTGTCTTCTCAGCAGCCCATGGAACTTTCTCCACAGTCAACTACACGTGAAGACACAAAGAAAGTCTCAACAAATACAGGAAAACTGAAATGACATCCTGCATTCTAGTTGCTCACAAAGGAACAAAGCAGGATATCAACTGCAACAGAACTACAGAAAAACTTGTGGAGACTAAACAACATGCTACTGAATGAAAACTGAGTCAAGGGGGGATATTAAGATGGAAAAACTAAAAATCCCTAGAATTGAATGAAAATGAAAACACAACATACCAAAGTCTGTAAACACAATGAAGGCAGTACTAAGAGCAAAATCTATAAGCACTAAGTATCTACATCAAAGAACTGGAGAGGGGCAGGGCATGGTGGCATACACCTTCATTCCCAGTATGCAAGAAGCAGGTGTATCTCTTTGAGATTGAGGCCAGACTGGTCTACATAGTGAGTAGAGGCCAGTTGGGGCTACAGGGAGACTGTTTCAAAAGCCAAACCAAAGCAATCCCCTCACAAAACAAAAACCACAAACACCTCCTTCAACACAAAAAAATGGGGATCTCATACTAATGGCTTAATGATATACCTGAAGGTCTTGGAAAAAAAAAACAAAAAACAATCAGTAGCCTTTCTATATACCAACAACAAGCATAGTGAGAAAGAAATCAGGGAAACAATGCTATTCATGGTAGCCTTAAAAGTGAATAAAATAGTATCTTGGAATAACTCTAAATAAGGAAGGACTCAAAAGGCCTGCATTAAAAAAAAAAAAAACTTTTAAGATTCTGAAGAAATAAAGAAGCTACCAGAAGATGGAAAGATCTTCCATGTTCAGGACTGGTAGGATTGATATTGTCAACTGGCTGTCTTACCAAAAGAATTTACAGATTCAATGTAATCCCCATCAAAATTCCAAAACAATTCTTCACAGAAATTGAAAAAAAAATCTTAAATTTCATATAGGAACATCCTGAACAATAAAAGAAGAGCTAGAGACATCACCACCCCTGATTTAAATTATACTATGAAATTGTACTACATAGCTAGAGTAATAAAAACAGCATGGTACCAACACAAAAACAGGCACGTTGATCAATGGAACTGAATTGAGGACCCAAGTATTAAGTCCACATACCTATAACCACCTGAGTTTTGACAAAGAAGCCAAAAATATACATTGGAGAAAAGACATCTTCAACAAATGGTACTAGTCATACTGGATAGCTGATTGCAGAAGAATGAAATTAGATCCCTATCCTTCACCTGCATAAGTCACCTCCAAATGGATAAAGGACCTCAATATAAGACCTGGTACCCTGAATCTGACGGAGAAGAAAGTAGGGAATACACTGGAACTTACAGGCACAGGAAAGGTGTTTCTGAACAGGACCCTGATAGCACACTCATCAAGATCAACAATTGACAAATGAGACCTCATAAAACTAAAAAGATTCTGTACAGCAAAGAACACTGCCTTGAGAGGAGGCAGCCTATAAAATGGGGGGAAATCTTTACCAGCCATACATCTGACAGAGGGTTAGTATCTACAATATTAAAGAATAAAAAAAACCTCAACATCAAGAAAATAATTACCCAGTTAGAAATCAGGGAAAGGAACTAAATAGAAAAATTTTCAAAAGATGAAATGCAAATGGATGAGAAATACATTTTTTTAATGATTGACATCCTTAGCAATCAGGAAAATGCAAATTAAAATTACTTTGAGATTTTATCTTACCCCAGTCAGAATGACTAAGATCCAAAAAATAAATGGTGACAAATGCTGGCACGGGTTTGGGAAATGGGGAGCACTTATTCACTGGCTGATGGGAGTTCAAACTGGTGCAGCCACTATGGAAATCAGTGTGAGGTTCCTCAAAAAGCTAGAAATATCTGCCATATAATCTAGCTAGACCACTCTTGGGCATATACCTAAAGGACTCTGTATCCTACTACAGAGTTACCTATTCATTCATGTTCATCTAGCCAGGAAATAGAAACAGCCCAGATGTCCATCAACTTATGGATATTGAAAATGTGGTATACTTACACAATGTAATATTATGCAACTGTGAGAAAAATGAAATTCACAAGTAAATGGATGGAGTTGGAAACAATCATCCTGAATGACTTAAAAAAGACTCAGAGTTTTCTCTCATATGGATGTTTCCTTTGAATCTTGAGATGTGTGTGTTTCATTTGTAAAACCCATAGAGGTCAGGAAACTAGCAAGAGGCCATGGGGGAAGGGGAACTGTCAAGGAGGGAGATATACTGCAGTGATATAAAGGGAAGAAGGGGAATAAGTGTTAAATGGGGTAGGGGATGGGAGTGCAGGATAGAAGAGAGTATGGGGAGAGAGAACACTAAAGCCCTTATGAAAAAGTTATATGCAAACCTATTACTGTAGAAGCTCTCTAAATATATACATACATATTTATAAAATGAATTTAAATGGAGTTATCCTGCAACAGGGAGACAATGACCCTACTAGGCTAGGAAAAAAAAAAAACAAACAAAAAACCTAGTGACAGGAACGAATTACCTATTTTGGAGTTGTTGGAAGTGTGTGTGTGCACCACCTGGCCTAGGTCATACTTTAAACATATTTATAAAATTACTTATTCTAAAGTTTTGGAACAGAACAGCAGACTCAGGCAGGCATATTAAGACACATCAAAGAATGTTATAGTTATGTGCCATTGGGAAAAATAAGGCATTATTCTACCACGCAACACTCCGGGTCAGCAAGTTGCTTTTTAACCTGTAGGCTCAGGAGACATACCCGAGATAGACAAGTCTGAATGGATTCACTGCTGATTTCATTGGATTCTAAAAGAAGTACTAATGCCAGTATGCCTTAGAATATTCTATGAAATAGATAAGATAGAGAATTAGCCTAAATGCCTGCCAGCGGATGATGATAAAAAAAAAGCATGGTACAAGTGTGTGATGGAGCAATATTTAGCGACAAAGAATGAAACTGAAATTCATAAAAACTCAATTTAAAAAAAAGAATAAAATCATGTCATTTCTTGTAGAAAAAAAAAAAAGGATAGAACCAGAGGGCATAATAATAAGCCAAACAAACCAGACACAGAAAGATGGGTATTTTATGTTTTCTCTTGTATGTAGAAAGCTAAGCAACTAAAATGAATATAAAAGATGGACTCCAAGGAGGGAGTCAGAAAGGCAAGAGTGGGCAAAAATACAGATGTTGCAGTGGTATCCATTCATTTCTACAATTAACATATGATAACAATTGCAATAAAAAAATCTGTGTGATTGTTATTAACACTGGCTATCAATGTAAATAAAGTATACTTAAGGTACAATCAGGGAACCTATCTAATTTAAATGAAATCTGAATATTTTAACAAAACCTAAAAGCAAATGTTGACCAATTGTCAAAGGACTATAAAACTAACACATTCAAGGGCTGGAGAGATGGCTCAGGTGTTAAGAGCACTGGCTACTCTTGCAGAGGCCCTGGGATTGGTTCCCAACCCCCACATGAATTGTCACAACTACCTTTAATTATAGTTCTACACAATGCTCTCTCTGGCTCCTGTACACATGTGGAGCACATAAATTCATGCAGGCACACGAAATACACAGAAAAGCTAGCAAATTTCAAATAAAAAAATAATAAACAACAATCGCATATAGCTTAGTGGAAAAAAAATTTCAATTCACACTCAAAGATTCATTATCCACAAAAATAATGTCCTGCCTCCAAAATGCTGGGATTGCTGCGTATACCACCATACCTGGCTTGCTTTATTTTTTTAAAATGAAGAATCTAATGGTTTATACTCTACTCTGCCAATATTAAGAAAATAGATCAATTTTATACATGACTTTATGCTTGCCTTTGTCATGAAAAGGGAACTTATAGCTAGCAGAAAAAAATTTAAAAGCAGGAATAAAAAATAAACTTTTTTGGGGGGAGTGCACAAATTCTTCACTGATGAAAGTTCATTTCTAAGCTTTTATTTACTTAAAAAAAAAAAAAGTTTGGAAATAGAGTCTCTCATAGATCCCAAGCTGGCCTCAGACTCACTATGTATTTCAGGCTGGCCTTGAACTCCTATCCTCCTGCCTTTCCCTGGGATTACTGCCTCCTCCTCTCTATTGCTGGGATTGCAGGAGATTGAATCAAGGGCCTTGGGCATGACAGGTACGTACTCTGATACTGAGCTATGTCCTCAGCTTGGTGCAAGGCTTTAAAAAAATAAACTGTAGGGGCTGGAGAGATGGCTCAGGGGTTAAGGAGCACTGAATGTTCTTCTGGAGGACTAGATTTGGGTCCTAGCACCCACATGGTGTCTAAAAACTGTCTATAACTCCAATTCCAGGGGATCCAATGCTCTCTTCTGACCTCTGTGGGCACTGCATGACAAAGGTGCACTTATATACATGCAGGCAATACACTCATACACACAAAAAATAAAACATAAAATTTTAATAAAAGGCAAAAAGAGCATAATTTAATTTACCTTTATGGATGAAGCTGCATAGAGCATATCTTCCAGGCTGAAATGGCAGCACTGGTTTAAGTATTCTTGGCAAAATTCCTGAATCAGCTGCAGATTGTACAGGCTGTCAGCCAAAGACATAGTTTCTTTCAAACAAATATCTTCAAACAGAAAAGCGGGATGATTCTGGGTTAATGTGATGAACACTTTATAATTATTGACAGTACAAATACAAAATTATGCAGAATCTCTCAGCAAACCTGTATTTATAAATGCAACAGCCATTACACAAAATTCTCAATTATCTTCCTTAAACTTATACTTAAATATTCTTTTTTAAAAAGCCTTCATCACTTTAAATATTGTTGACTTAAATATTTGTTGTCATTTATCTATAGTTCAGAAATATTTCACTGGAACACTTACCCTCTAATCGGACAACACCAGGGCAGTAAAAATGAATGAGGGCAGCTAAGGCACAGCCATCTGTACCATCCTTCAACAAATTTTCTACCAATGGAATGCAAGGCAGCTGCTTAAGCAATGTTTGTTCTTTCCTGTAACGAGCCTACAATATAAAGCGATCTAAATAAACACTAAGCAACACAGGAGGGGCAAGCAGAATTATAGATTATAGTTATTCTCAGTATGAAAATATAAAGAAACAGAAATACCAACAATTCACCTTAAGCTATAAATTTAACATAACATTTTAACAATTAATATAAAAATACCATCTAGCTTACAGTACTCAAAATCGTCACAAAACAGATCTGAAAACTTTGCTTCTAAACCATCAGGTCTGTTAATGTAGAGATTAAAACATTAATTTACTTTAATATTAGACTTCATTTGGACTAAAAGTTCTTACACAGAATGACAGCTTTTGTAAAAGTAAAGATACCACCTAAGCAGAAATAAGTATGAGTTATCAGAATTGATGAACAGTTAGAAAATACTATTTACAAAGGAAATTAGTGGGGGAGGGGGGCCGGGACCAACCACCTTGAGAAACTGTAATCACAGCACCAAAATATTCTGTTATGTCTTAGCATCTGAGTGTTGAGACATATTGCACTGTTTCATTAACAAGAAACCTTTGCATTCTAAAAATTACTTGATGTGGATGGATATAAGTTTGTAAGACAGCTCTTTAAAAATGAGAAATGCTGTGAAAGTGGTTAAGAGATTCTGGTTCTGCTATTACTAGCTCTGTGTCTTGGATAAGTTATGTAAGTTCTCCTTTAACTCATTTGTAAAATGGAGGTAGTGCTAATACCTACTCCACAGAACCAATGGAGAATTAAAAAAATGATGGGGGTGGGGATTGGAGAGATGGCTCAGAAGTTAAGAGCACTGACTGTTCTTACAGAGAACCCAGGTTCTATTCCCAGAACCCACATGACAGCTAACAACCACCTGTAATTCCAGTTCCAGAGGATTCGATGCCCTCTTCTGACCTCTACGGGCATTGTACAACATGGGTACACTTACACACATGCAGCCAGCACACTCATACACATTAAATAAGTAAATAAATAAATAAATAAGATGATGGACACATAGTACTAAGCGCCACACTGCTGGGCACATAGACACAATCAATATAGGCTGGTTGTTATTAGCCAGTAGCTTTCCTAAAGCCAAGAAAAATAATGTTCAAGATTTACTAATGGTACATAGTCTTTTATTAGCAAAATTTATGATTATATAGGCTACTGATAATAATCTTTTGGGGGGAAGTCTTTTTTGAGACAGGATCTCTCTGTAGCCCCAGCTGGCCTGGAACTCTCTATGTAGACCAGCTGGCCTTGAACTCACAGAGCTCCACCTGCCTCTGCCTCCTAAGTGCTGGGATTAAAGGCATGCACCACCACACCTGGCATAATAATCCTTTTTAAAAAGGTAATATAACACCATTTTTTTCTTCTAATTCAATCTAAGCTGGTCAACTCTACAATTTATAATTAAAACACGACTGTGAAGAAAAATGCCTGTGAGAATAAAAACAAAAAAATTAAATTTACTACACAAAATATTTAATACTTGAAGGTAAGATTAGACTTCTTTTAAATGAAATACTTCAGAAAAACATGGATTATTTCTTCTCTCTCCCTGACTACCCAATGGCAAGAATCATGAAACACATTTTCTTCTTGAACATTTTTGGAGGCGCCTGTTCTTATTAATCAATGCTAGACGGACTTCTGTATTTAACGGTGTATACCTAATTCACACACTATCTATATTCAGAAAATAACTATTTATATATACTAATGTATTACATAGATTTTATATTTTCTTTCCTTTTCTCTTTCTTTTTGGGTTAAGAACAGAAGGCAGTGTAGCCTAGGCCGGGATTGAAATCTCACCCTCTGGCTTTGGCCTTCTGAGTGTCAGGGTGGCAATTTTAAGACAAGAGCACCACCTAACGTAGACTCTTTGATTATTGACTTTTACATCACACTTAAAAAAAAAACCTCTTCATCCATTTTGTTGCTAGCAGAAAAGGGAGGGAGAGGAAGGAGAATGAGGAGGAGGACGAGGGGGAAGAAGAGGAAGAGGAGGAGGAGGACCAACCCATCAGTATTAAGCTACCCCTCTCACATTAGGAAGTACTGCTCCAGATCCCTACATTCTCTTCTTGGTTATCTACAATGAGAACAGAAGTGCACCAAGCACACCTGGTCATCTCCCAACTAATATTCATTCTCATTCTCATTCTCTTTCTCTTTCTCTTTCTCTTTCTCTCTCTCTCTCTCTCTCTCTCTCTCCCTCCCTCCCTCCCTCTCCCCCCCGTGTATGTATAACATACAAAGTCTATGATTTATATTAGTCAAATAATTATGAATGGCATGTCAAAGCATTTTCTAGAATATTATATCCTAGAAGATCCACTGAGCAAAAGAACTTTAAGGGTAATACAACTCTCAGATAAGGTATATGGAACCTTTTATCCTTGAACATGCTACATTCTTTTTTTATTCCAGGCTGGCCTCAAACTCACTTCATAGTCAAGGATGAATGTAAACTGATTACACCTGCTCTTCCATCCCCAAGTACTGAGATGATAGATAGGTACCACTACATCTGACTGCACTGCTGGGTGCTTGCTGGGGTTTAAAACAGAATTTCATGCATACTAGGCAACCACTCTACCAACTAAGAAACATCCTCAGTTCATGCTAAATGCTTTATAAATTCATTGTGTCAAAGTATTTCAGAGTTTCTCCACAAATTTGAAAGTTTGGCATTCAAAAGGAGCATTACACTTTTCTCTATGTCAGTATTTATGATGTGTAACAGTTCTTAAACACTTTAATTCTCCATACTTATACTAATCCATCAAGTCAAATCAAAACTATGTCAACATAGTTTAGGGCCAATATTGTGAAGATATAAATAAACTTTTAAATTTTCCAAACAGTTAAATGTTTTCTGCAATCAGGGTGAAAAGAATATGACTGCAGCAAAAATAAATTAAAAACGCAGACAACTTTGTGGGGACCTAAACGCCCCACCTTGCATAGGTCCGAAAGGAAGTTACTGGGGGCTCGGGCTGGCTTGCTTTGAAAGTTTGAAGAATACTTCCGCACTGCTGAGGAGTGCATGATCAGCGCGTGATCATCCGTAAGATACAACGGGGGAGGGGGGGGGGAGTTCCAGGTGCCTTTATAAGTTTTGTAACACCTGCAATAAATGAGTCCCTGCTTGACTAGGCTCCCGGTTGCGTCTTGAGTGTCTCTGGTACTGGGGATGGCTTGGGCTGGTGAACGGCGTGCTTACTCATCCCCAATCATCACCTCCCCGGGGGTCGCTGGTTCGAACTCCCGGCACAACTTACACATGCAATTATTCAAATATAGTCTCATGAAAACTATTAATATCAATGAGACTTTGTATCCATTAGGTTGTTTTTACTCACTTAATAATGGTCTGTGAAAATTATGATTAGCAAAAGGATGCTTATTCTTAATTTTAAAACTCTGAAACCAAACTTTGGCTAGATGTATTTTTCCATTTTACACTATGAAAAATACCTTAAAACCTAATCTCTGGGCAGGAGAGATGGCTCAGTGGTTAAGAGTACTGGCTGTTCTTGCTGAGGACCCAGGTTCGATTCCCAGCATTCACATGGCAGCTAACAACTATCTATAATTCCAGTTCAGTTCCGGGGGAATCCAATGCCTTCTGACCTTCGTGGGCACTGCATGACATGGGTGCACTTACAAATAAGCAATACACTCATACACACACACACACGCATGCACTCCCTAACCTCTATTCAATGACTAACAGATTCATATGAAATGACTATGCCAGTAAGCTATAAACAATGCCATAATACCATGCTACAATTAAAATTTCAGAGAGAAAATTGAAGTAGTGGGGCAAACTTACTGGAACCAGTTTCCAAAACCATTTGGAAGGAGACTTCAGAGGAAGCAGTAAAGAAAAAAAAGGAAGGAGGGGGCAAAAAGTAAAGGAAAAATACATCAGAATCATTCAATTAACAAGACATAGCAGAGCTTCTGAGAGTAGAGTTCAAAGTTCACAGTTCTCACAGTATTTGTCATACTTTAGTTAAAACTATAAATTCCTAATAATCAAGACCACCATCATCTCCTCCTCTCCCCATACTGAATTTCATTTTAGATTACCAAGGACATACTGTATGTTTAGCAGGAAAGAATTTTATTCCTGAGACTTGAAGCCACTTATCTGTATCATAAAAGCAAAACAAAAAGACTCTAAGGTTAGATTTTTAATCATAATTCTTAGATATTAGTAGACCAAGTCTACTAATATCTTACCAAGGGACAGTCTTCCTGAAGGGAAAAGACAAAAGCTCATTCTAATAAACACAAGCATAAAGCAAACAGAATGTAGTATTTACTGAGAATGTAAATGTTAATAGTTTTGCTACCAAAGGGTATCATAAAGAGTATCACTTTTCTCCTTTAAAAACTGAAAATCTCAATACAAATTAGTTATTTGTGGTTATTTTGTATTTCCCAGAACAATTTCTGAAAGCTATGAACAAGTGTTTATGGAACTGAACCAAACTGGGATCTGAGATATATTTCATATTCAGTTTTCTTTCCTTTTCTTTCCTTTTTTTTTTTTTTTTTTTTTCCTGAGACAGGGTCTCCCTGTAGCTCCAGCTGGCCTGGAACTCTCTATGAAGACCAGGCTGGCCTTGAACTAACTCACGGAGATCTGCTTCTGTCTCCTGTGTGCTGGGATTAAAGGCATGCGCCAACACCACACCCGGCTCATATTCAGTTTTTATGCAGATAAATTTTCCTATATAAATTAACAGTAAAAATAAGATTAACTGGAAAAATAATACAAATTATTTTCAAGAACTTCAAGAATCAGAAAAAATATCATTACAAGCATCAGAAAAATATCAATTTCCCAAAAACAAATAATATTCCAGTAAGGTTTTTCTTATGGCATCAGGGAATAACCCCAATAATTCTGCTGCATGTATGCAAATCTTCCATTTAATGAAAAATTCTAGGCAGCTAAAGTTATCAAAGCCACCAAAGTTCAAGAATAAGATTAAAGAGGAGGAAGCCAATAAAAATGTGCCAGTTTCTGATTTATAACTGAAACTTTATTCTTTGAGAAATGACCTCATATCAGAATGCCTTGGGGTATGCAATAGGTAAATAAGGCCAGGCTCATGAGGATTCAGATGGGAATGTGGAGTCTACCAGAACCTGAACTAGAGACCATTCATGTGATATCCTGGCAAATAACGTACCCATATTTTGTCCATGCCCATCCAGAGACTCTGAGAGAGGCTAAAGTTAAAGGTAATGGGCTTTAATCTGATGGAAGAAATTCCAAGGTGGCACAGAACGAGGCTGTAGCATGATTATTGCTAGATCCTATAAAATGGGGCCCAAAGAGGTACAGTAACCTTGGTAATGGTCAAAATGTTGGAGTGGGTGTTTTGACTTTCAGTGCAGTATTGGTTTTTAACAACATTCCGAGCAAACTTTTCAAGAGCATGAATGTTGGATTTAATGTTATTCTGGCCATAATCTTTAGGGATCTCTAGAATTTTCCAGATTTAGCAAATGAACATTCAAAATGTCATAGTAATATAAGAGACCCATGCAATTTATACCAAAATTTGTTTATATGGAATTCAAATTTCACTAAGTATCCTGTTTTAATGTGGAGGAATACTGGAAGCAAAAGAGCAATTTGAAAAATGAGAAAATAGAGTAGGAGAAAACTGTTCAAACAAACGTTTTCCTAAGACATGACACCATTTTAAATTCTGCCCTCTTAGGATACTAGCTAATTCAGTAAGGACAAATACTGCATCAAAGGATCTAATAACAAAGAGAAATGTTTCTGGAATCTGTAATTTCAGACTAATATTAATAGCATATAAGTAACCTCCAACATATGCATATATTTTATCATGAATATGGTTACAAAAGTAAGTTTCACAAAACAAATTCTATTGCATATTGGAGTTGACAGGAGTTGAGCAAGGATATAGGCAAGAAATGCTACCATCCAACAGCCTAAGCTAGATCTATAGCTGGTAAGTACATCTGAATGTCTTGCCAACCAGGCTGGCTGAAACAGGTAGAAAATGGCAACTGTTACCAACTATGTAAGCAAGAGCAATGAATTTTATCTCTTATTCCTAAAAGTACAAAGGATCGTGAAGTTGGCTTTTACAGATTAAAATCAAGAATGGAATAAAATTTCAATAAAAATAAGTAGTTCAAATGCTAAAAATCCCACAACAGATAATAGAGCAGGATTACTTTCCCTAGTTAATTCTATTTAATTATATAAATGTATAAAATATATGTATTTTATAAATACTATGCACTAAAATAAAAATGTATACAAATCCAAATATTTAAGCATGAATCAGCCATATATTTACTTAATCACTCATTCAACAATTATCACTGTAGAGTTGCATGAATAATTTTGTGGGGCTAAGTGCTAGGAAAAGGTCACCAAGGAATAACACAAGCAGTGTCTTATAAATGTATAAAATATATGTATTTTATAAATACTATGCACTAAAATAAAAATGTATACAAATCCAAATATTTAAGCATGAATCAGCCATATATTTACTTAATCACTCATTCAACAATTATCACTGTAGAGTTGCATGAATAATTTTGTGGGGCTAAGTGCTAGGAAAAGGTCACCAAGGAATAACACAAGCAGTGTCTATATTCCAGTTTGATTTTCTGTAAGTCACGCAATCTGGTTGTCTGAAATACAAATGGCATATTTTCTCCTATGTAGTAAGTTTATTTAGTAAATAAATAAACACTATTAGTTTATTATATATATCTAATAGTACAAAATGATTATATATAATAAAGATTTCTAAGGAAAATTTTTCTTAATAATTAAGAATGATGTTTCCTTAATGTTATTCTTAAGATCCGGAAGTAAATTAAGGAAGAGGATTACATATATCTTCAAGGCAAAGATTTCAACTCTTATACTATGGGAAAGAGAAAAGGAAAGAAACAAGTAGGAAAGGACTTGGATGTGAGAGGGAAGGGGCTGGGAAAGAAGCTGGTTGAAGGCAGGAAATGAAGCATAATTAATCTGGTATGACATGGAGAAAAGGACAATTCCAACCTAAGCTACATTTAGGGGAAAGGACCTCAATGAAGTTAAGAGGAAGGAGTAAGCACAAACCATACTTTTAGAAACTTGTCACTAAGCTCAGTGGTGGAATCAATGTGACTTCCAAATATAAAATTAGAACAGCTTTAGGTGGTCCTGCACAATTTTTTTCTATTGGATTTGATAACAGGCACAAGTTTCCATTCCCTTCCTTTTCTCATTCTGTTTTTATGGAGTTACCTTATAGGAAAAGTCCAAAACGAATAAAGTACTATGTAATGGCAAAGAGACTGAATAATCCAAATGAAAAATACAGTCTCTGAAAAATTCTAATTTCTTACACTTCAATTCTAATACTGCATTTTTTAATTTACTTCTTTATTTTTAAGCTACTCATTACATTCTTCTTTGGTGGAGCATTTATTTTTATTTTATGTGTATGAATGTTATACTGGCACATATATAAGCACACTCATGTTGTACAATGCCTGTGGAGGTCAGAAGAGGGTGTCAGATTCCCTGGAACTGGAGTTACGGATGGCTGTTAGTGGCCATGTGGGTGTTGTTATTTGAGCCTAGGTCTTCTATTAGAGCAAACAGTGCTCTTAACTGCTGAGCCATCTCTCCAACCCCCTCACTACAATATATTTTTTAAAATGTAAGATATATTGCTCGTCCACCGCTGCCGCCTCCTTCTTCTGCCGCTCCGGGTGCTGCTTGTGCGGACCTGGTACGTCTTTTGTGAAGCGGCAGCTGAGGAGACTCCGGTGCTCGCCATGGCTGACGAGAAACCCAAGGAAGGAGTCAAGACTGAGAACAACGACCATATTAATTTGAAGGTGGCGGGGCAGGATGGTTCTGTGGTGCAGTTTAAGATTAAGAAGCAAACACCACTTAGTAAACTAATGAAAGCCTATTATGAATAACAGGGTTTGTCAATGAGGCAGATCAGATTCTGATTTGATGGGCAGCCAATCAATGAAACAGACATGCCTGCACAGTTGGAAATGGAGGACGAAGATACAATTGATGTGTTCCCGCAGCAGACAGGTGGTGTCTACTAAAAGGGAACCTGCTACTTTACTCCAGAATTTTGTTATAGACCAAGAATACATTCTCAATTAGAAAGCCACAATTTGGTTCCACCACATCCTGACTACTGCAGTATAGTTTTCTCTATTCTTTCATTTCCCTGTCCCCATTCCTTTCTTGTACATAAAAGTAACTGGTGTATGTGCACAAGCATATTGCACTTTTTTCTTTTTGATCTAAATGGCCGGTGTTCTGTTTTGGTTGACATTAGATGGAGACGGTGTGGGAACGCACTGGTTCTGTGACAACCTCCCCTTCTCCATTAGTGGCATGCTCCGTCAGCTCTTACCTTTATATTCCAGTAAGTTATTTTGCTCTCACTGTTTTAACAAAAAAAACAACACAAAATCCTTGCATACCTTGTTTGATTGGAGAATTTTAATGTCTTTCATTTATCATTGTAAAACCAAGGACAATTTTATAACTTTTTTGTACGTAGCTGTTACATGTAGGGCAATCTGTCTTTAAGTAGGGGTAAATTACTCTTGAAAGAAAATGAATCCTAGATAGTTTTCCCTTCAAGTCAAGCGTCTTGTTGTTTAAATAAACTTCTTGTTTAAAATGAAAAAAAAAAATGTAAGATATATTGTTGAAAATACTCTTTTGGTAAAAGTATATGAAGCACATAATTCCATTTCAAAAAGGAAAACTTTAAAAAACCTATTTTGAAATTTTAAAGAATGGCCTGGCATGGTGGTGCATGCCTTTAATCCCAGCACTCAGGAGGCAGAGACAGGAGGATCTCTGTGAGATTCAGGTCAGCCTAGTCTACATAGTGAATTCTAGGTCAGCTAGGGCTACAGGGAGACCCTGTCTCAAAAATAATAATCCTTTACAGAAGAATTGTACAACCTCAAACTCCAGGAATACTGTCTTAAAGATTCTTTTTATAGCAAGTTATATAAGCTGATACATTTAAATATTTGCTAAAATGTATGGAACAAACCATGACATCAAAAGGACCCAACTTCAAGTCATTAACAATTTTTCATAAACACTACAAGCTTTTATTTTATATTCTTACTTAGTTCTTCAGGAGTGACTTCTGAGGGTACAGTTAACAGCACTAAAGAAGCTTAATACATGTAACTATTGGTATTTCCTAAAAATACATGACTATACATTATCAGAAAAGCATTTTTAAATTTAAATATATACCTTTTGACCTCCTGGAACTTCAGTTGTGTGATGCTCTTTAGATTTTTGTTCTTGTTCCATTATGTCTTTCAAATGTTCATTTACCTTAAAATATTTTTTAAAAAATGAATTTGAATTTTATATTAAAATATAGCAATTACAAAGCATGTACCTTAAAATGCCTGGTTAGATCCCTGATATCAAGCATGAGAAGCACTTAAATAAAGAAAATTTCATTTTTACAAACAGGAAATATCTTACACATAGCTTTATTTGATACCGTAAAATTAGTTCATTGGTTTACAAAACACTTATTGAGTATCTACAGTAAGTCAGAAACCGGTTGGAGTGCCAAAGAGAATTCAGTATGATTAACTCAATAACATCAGTTTCAATGCTTAGGAAGCAAAAAATACTTTTTAAAATAAAAAAATAGAACTGGTTAATTTTATTTGAACTCAAGCTTGTTTTTTAAAACAGTATAATACCAATTTTACAGTCTTTGAATCCAAAGGAATTGTTAATAGTATACAACCTCTTTCCAAAAGTCTGGGCCCTTCCATCCATACCAGGCCTTTTCCAAGATAACTTGCAGAAATTCAGCAATGGTATGTGGGTCTAGAATCAGAAATTTTATATGGCCTGAAATCTCATTCCATGTAACCCCTATATCGTATGAGCTAAAACTTCTCCCCCGATCATTACTGGAGTACCTTTACTCTGGAAATTGTTAGCTGGGTCCTGTCTTTGAGAGGCCATTTCTGAACCTTGACTGATAAACAGTATTTCTGATCAATCAGTTGGTTTAGTACCAGCTGTACCTCCATAGAGCCAATCTAGTGCCTTGCTCCAACAAATGTTGCTAGTTTGTCACCAGCAACAACTAGAACCTGCTGAATTTCTCTGTGTGCTGGAATGGGCCTGTCTTTGTGTCCTTGATGTCTGAATGAACAGTCTGTCTAAAGGACCTGTAAGCACAGTCCCAACCATTGTTATATATCCAATCCTGCATATAATGATAATAACCATATTATGTCCTGGGTCAAACAGATCATACCAGTCTCTATGTTAGGTGGACTAAAATAAGTATGTGGACTTCTAACGTAGATATTTTTTGTAGGCTTCGTTTGCTAAGTGGTCTTAGACCTTTTGAAATATGGCCTGTCATGGAATAGACTGAAGAGATCATGTAATTTCTTTCTATAGGTCTGCAGGTGAGTATCTGGAATTCCGGCTGGATATAATATTGTTACAAGATTTTTTTTTTTTTGTCCAAGCAATAAAAAGTGCAGTGGTTCAGGGACCACAACAGATGTCCCTTTCATATATTTCAAAATGCAGTTTTACGTATCAGCTGGTTGGTTATGAACCACATCCACTAGAAGTCTGCAAACTTTCCCCATGCTTCGAATACAACTGTATCGACAGGCAAAGTCATATTAATATGGTAGCATCCTTCATTTTCCCTTTCGATGGAGTTACGGCTCTCAGAGAAGTTGACATTTCCAAAATAAGACCTATATTTACTATATGATGCACATCTGATAACTTTTTGCCTTTCTTTCTCATGAATTTTCACTTTGTATTCTCTTCCTGCTCAAATTGAATGAAAATGCATTATGTTCTTACAGGCAGAGTAAATGTCAATCTACTCTCCTGGGATGGTGTTTTTATCACCATTTTGCCATACATATACTGGGCTGTGGCAAAATCTGAACACAAGTGCATCTGATGAAAGCTTGGTAGACAGATCACTCAATACATTTTAGTGCTTTCTTGATGTGCGAGTTGAAAAACCAGATCAAGACCTCCTCTTATTCTGGAGAGTATATGCATAGTTTTTGAAAATCAGCAGGTCCACCACCAGGGGGTGACAGGGAAGCCAATATGAGTTTACAGGCTAGAGGGCTGGCCTGGAAGTTGGTTAATTTTTATTATCAATGGCAAACACTTAGCTCTGATTTTACAACCACAGTAAAGGTCTGTCTAAATTCTTCAAATGAATGCCTCTGGGGAGACAGCCTGGAAATGGCCTAAACAGCATAAAAACTATTTCCTGAGATAACTTTAGACAATACTGATTTCAAAATTATTTTAAGATCATTAGTAACAATAAATATATGCTTAAATTTATTAAGAAAGACAAGTCTAGGAAGCTTTAATGCAACTGGCCCCCAACTTTCAGTCCCCACTTTCTTTCTAGGGTCTGGTAATTTTCAAACCTCAGTGTCATATAAATTTCTCTAATTATATGTTATCAAACCAGTCTAGGTGTTTGAAATAGTCTAGCATGATAGCAAAAGCACTAATTTCTGTTTCTTATTAATAATACATGCGCTATAAATAAGGCAGTTTTATAACTTCCATGCACCTCTGAGCATTTTGGATTGTATATCAATGAGGAGAGAGGAGAAAGACAGGACTACAATCTATGAAAGTTTGTAGATTTTTCTTTTTTAAAAAAATATTTTATTTATTTTTATTGTATGTGTATTAGTGTATTGCCTGCATGTATGTAAGAGCACCTGTACTGTGCAGTGCCTGTGGAGGTCAGAAGAGGGCATCGGATTCCTCTGGAACTGAAGTTACAGACAGTTGTTAGCCTCCATGTGGGTGCTGGGAATCAAACCCAAGTCCTCTACAAGAGCAGCCAGTGCTCTTAACAGCTGAGCTAGCTCTCCAGCTCTACAAACACTTTCTAATTCATTCACAGGTTGCAGCATTTAGAAATACTTTTTTGTTTTTGTGGGATTTTCTGGGTTTCTTTGGTTTGTTTTTTAGTTTTATCCAATTCAATAGACTGACTATTGATATAATATAATGCTAGCTTATATGCCACATACTGTATTTAAGTAGTTAAGGATACAATAGAGCACAAAGCCAACATGGTCCTTGTCTTCAGAAAGGAGACCAACCAAAACAAACAAAACCCAAAGAGATGCTACAATTTAATAATTTAAAAGGTAAGTATAGGGTCCAGCATGGTGGCGCATGCCTTTTATCCCAGCACTCAGGAGGCAGAGGCAGGCAGATCTCTGTGAGTTCAAGGCCAGTCTGGTCTACATAGTGAGTTCCAGGACAGCGGGGGGTAAAGGGGGACCCTGTCTCAAAAAAACCAAAAAAAAAAAAAAAAAAAAAAAAGGTGAGTATAAAATAATAGAAGCAGAGAAGCAGGGAGGTCTGTTTTTAAAAATGTCTCTATTAGAAAAGCTTCTTCTGTGGTCTGAATGTTTGTGCTCCCTCCTCCCCCAATTCAATTAATACTGCAACTTAACATCCCATATGGCATTAATGACAAGTGGGAACTTTGGAACCTTCCATCTTTGAAGCAGAGAATAAGTACCCACCAGACACTCGGTATCCTGGTACCTTCACCCTGGACTTCCTAACTTCTAGAACTGTGAGAAAAAAATTTATACTGTTTATGTTACCTAGGATAATTTTGTCACAGCACTTTTACAAGCTAAGACAGTCTCTTTGAGAGGTAACTTTAAGCTGAAATCTAAAGAAGGGAAGGGTAACCCCAAAAGGAGTGGAAAGAGTATTCCAGACAGGTAAGAAAAAACACAAGTCTGGCATGGTGGCACACGCCTTTAATTCCAGCACTAGAGAGGCAAAGGCAGGCAGATCTCTGTGAGTTCAAGGTCAGCCTGGTCTACATAGGTAGTTCCAGGTCAGTTGGGGCGACAGGAAGACCCTGTTTCAAAAACAAAATAAAATAAAATAATAAAATAACCCCAAAACAAAAGGACCTGTGGTGGGAAAATACTTTGTGTGAGGAACAATATGACTACAGCACAGAAAATTCAAAGGGTTTACAACATGAGATTGGAAACAGAAGGACAAATAATGCAAAGCTCACACGTTCATTATTCTGGGGTACCTCTGCATGATTTCATCATCAATATCACCTTGTCTTCTCTGATTTTGCATTCTCATTTTTAAGTTTAGATCCATTTTGGACATTAATGCTAGTAACGGTTTTAGCCACAGGTGGATGCATTACCCAGAACAAAAAAGAAAAGGTAACTAGATTAGATACACCAAATTTGGAGTCAGAAGAAGAAAATATATACTAATTTGAGAGGCAAAGGTAAAGTCATAATAAGGATAACGAGGCTGGGGTTTGAAGAATGGGACAAGGAAAAAATACATTGAAGTTCAAGTTGAATCAAATGGCTTAAAACCTAATCTAAAAAGTGAATGGGCAGATATCAATACATAACATTGGTAGACATTCCTAATTAGGTGGCTGTCTTATCTTTGTGTAGATCTCTAAAGTGCCTATTTTAATATGTAACTTAAACTAGTTTTTACTTATTCATTTAGTCAATATTTAAATATCATCACTCAGTAGAATAGCAGTACTAGTCTAGACCACAGAACTAAAGATGGTCATATCTATTCTCTTACATGTAAGACCATTCAAGTAGGAAATACAGATTTTAAAAAATGATTCAGCAAAGTAACTAGAAACTCTGAAAAGTGCTATGTGAGAAACAGATAAAAGTATCTGAGTATAAAATAAGGGTTCATAGGTGCCTACTTTAGATAGGGTTGTGAGGAATAAGTACTATCTAAGCTGAGTAGTGATGGAACAGAAGCACCAAGTCATGCGGAAAGCTGGGAGATGAGCTGCCCACGAACAAGAAACATCACCTTCAATGGTCCAGAAGCCAAAGAGGCCTTAGAGATGGAATGAAGTGAGAGAAATGAGGAGGAACAGTGGCCATGAGCCTAGGATGGAAAAGTACACAGGGATGAGATGAGAGTAAATGGTATTTATAGGTTATGGTAAGTTTTATTTTTTTCTCTTAAGTGCAACGTGAAGCCTCTGAAGACTCTTGAGCAGAGAAACAATATGATCAGCTGTAGTGTAAAAGAAATTTGTATGGTTTTAGTTTTGTTAAGTTTATTACACTATTAACATTATTAGGCATTTAACATACAAAGCCTATAAGAGACAACAATTATAAACTCTGTACAAAATATTAAAGTAAGGGTGGAGGTATACTCAGTGGTAGAACATGAGGTAGCACATGTGAGGTCCTGGGTCCAATCCCTAGAACCATATACACATATATATGCATGCATGCATGTAGGTG